GGGCTCAAAATATGTCCATCAGCAGGTACTTACGTTTAACTTCTTATCGATTTAGATGAGCCGATATGCTTCTTTGGCACGCTTAAAGCACTACTTTGCCGTGGACAACTCTTATGTCGCCCGAAAACTTATGCTTCTACTTTTCCCTTATGCTCATTCGGTGAGGCATTTGTCTCATTCCACAATCATTTGATCTTAATATGCCATATTAATGCGATATTTTGAAATCATAATACTTCTGATTTGGCTCATCTGTTAATTTTTATGCAGATTTTTAAAGTGTGAAATGTCTCACCTCTCATGACACTTATTTTCCATTGCTCGTTTTAAAAGAATTGCATTTCATTTTTAACATTCGCTGTGAATGATTCAAATTTGTTTATGTGCTTAAGGCAAACTCTTATTGGCTCATTTTGATACCTCCCACTCTCAAGGCTGCATTAGATTTTTTGAGCCTGGTTAATCAAAAAGATGTTAATTAACATTCATGATTTAGCATTATATCTTTAGATAATTACATTTCCTTAATTTTTTTCTTTACTTCTATCAGTCATGGGCTCTTTCCTACGATCATTCTGGACCTGTGCCTCCGAGAAGCGATATAAATGCTCTTGACCTTTATATTCCCAGTATGGCGTTTGTCACATACCTTTTAATGTCTGGAATTGTATTCGGCATGCAAAATCGTTTCTCACCTGAATACCTTGGCCTCGCATCCAGTCAAGCTTTGGCCTGGATCGTCGTCGAAATACTTTTGCTTTATTTTATGCTATACTTATTCAGAATACAAATCAGCCTCACATACTTGGACCTGATTGCCTACTCAGGATATAAATTTGTTGGGTAAGTGATAAGTGTTCATACTATTTGGCAATTATGTCTACACCAAAATTGCTTTTGCTCTACTCACATTTTCAAGGCCTTGTCCTTATTTCACTCTTTACAAAATATGTTTCCGATTGTGGATTTTTGGACTGCTTTACCAGCATATAATAGCAGTGGAGTGTTTGGATGAAGTTTTGCTAATCCAACTATCATGAAGTTGTTCCTACAGAATATAACCAAGACATAGGGTATTAGTCATTGAAATTCAGCTTATAAAATTTTAGTAAAGCCATCTTGGATGCATTATTACAATATCTTCTGATGATTTATACACAGCTGAAAGCGAATTTAGGTGTGGGATTGTCCTATTTGTGCTAAAATAAGAAG